TCACTCTCCCTCTCTCCCCCAGCCTCTCTGCTCTGCCTCAGCCCCGTCACAAGACGGGTTTTTCCCTCTGACCATCAACAGAACAATCAGACTCAAAAAAATGTGCACTTCCAGGGTTCAGGCCGACAAGCAGGCAAAGAGACGTTGTCTGCACCTCAGAGTTAGCGAAAGGAGGGGTACAGGACCAGTCAGCACGTCTCAAGAGCTGTTCTCTACAGCGGACTGCTCAATCCCATGCTGAATCAAATAGATGTGCTTTATTTCCCAAACCCAATAAATTAAATTGTTCTCAGTAGGACTTATATTCAATAACGTCTGCGGGCATACTCACATGGGGACTTTCCTGGCCACAAATAGGGCGAAATTCAGTCAAAAAGGCTGTGGGGCAAAAGCTGATTTACTACCCTTGATTCGTAATCGTGACAAACCGACCGTTGGTTACCTTCTCTGGAGTTACGGCAGTCCTTACATCAGGTCTTTCATGGACGTATCTGACCACAAGTCAGGGCGACTTCATCCAAAAACAGTCATAGCATGCGTGCCCTTATTATTGTAAGCTGATTTGATACCCCCTGTTCTGTAATCATGACAGACCGATCATTAGTTACCTTCTCTGGGGTCTTCGCCATCCTGATATCAAGGATATAATGGGCATGAGTCTTGTACCCAAGGAGCTGAGACATCTGATGACGAAGGTAGATCTGCACAAGGAACATTGCAAAGGAACAACACGCTGAGACCATCCAGTCACATTTACTGTTTTGCTGATTCGTAGGATTGGAACACAAAACTATGGATCAAATTGGATCATCAAATTACTGATTACAGTTCAAATTAGATAATGAAACTTACTATTTATGGCTCAAATCCAATCATGTGCAATGAGCCCAAGCTTTAAACAACATCTCACGCCAAACCAAGAGCACAGTTCACCACACGTCGTATGAGATTCTTATACAAAAAGTTTGTATGCGTACAAGTCGGCGGCTATAGCGGCCAAACAGGAGCCCCCAAAAATCTCTCTCTCTCTCTCTCTCTCTCTCTCTCTCTCTCT